CATATTTGTGTCCATTCCAAAGAGAGGTGACCCAACAGAATGCGGAAATCATCGGACAATCTCTTCGATATCCCATGCGAGTAAAGTTTTGCTAAAGGTGATACAGAAATGGCTACAATCATACATTGCATTGACAAAGAACTTCCAGAGGCTCAAGCCAGATTCAGAAGGGGCCGTGGAATGTGGGAAATCATTGCTAATGTCCGATGGATCTTGGCTGAAAAGCAGAGAATATCAGAAAGATGTTTACCTGTGCTTAGTTGACTATGCAAAAGCTTTCAATTGTGTGGCTCATGACAAGCTATGGACAACATTGCAAAGTATGAGTATTCCAGAACACTTTATTGTGCTCATGAGGAATCTCTACCCGGACCAAAAAGCAGTTGTTTGAACAGAACATGGGAACACTGAATGGTTTAACATTTAAAAATGTGTGCGACAAGGTTTAATTCTTTCATCATACTTATTCAACCTGTATGCTGAGCAAATAATCCGAGAAGCTGGGTTCTATGAAGAAAAATGTCGCATCAGGATTGGAGGAAGACTCATTAACAACCTGCGATGTGCAGATGATACAACCTTGCTTGCTGAAAGTGAAGAGGACTTAAAACATTTACTGATGAACATCAAAGAGCACAGTCTTGGGTATGGATTACATCTCAATGTAAAGAAAAACAAAAATCCTCACCACTGGACCAATAAAAAACATTCTTATCAATGGAGAAAAGATTGAAGTTGTCAAGGACTTCATTTTCTTGGGTCAACTGTCAACACTCACAGAAGCAGCAGTCAGGAAATCAAATGATGTATTGCATTAGGCAAATTTGCTGCACAAGACCTTTTTCAAATATTGAAGAGCAAAGATGTCAGCTAGAGGACTAAGGAGCGCCTGACTCAAGCCATGGTATTTTCAGTCACCTCATCTGCATGCGAAAGCTGGACAGTGAATAAGGAAGACCATAGAAGAATTGATGCTTTTGAGTTACGGTGTTAGAGGAGAGTATTGAAGGTGCCATGGGCTGCCAAAAGAACCAATAGATCCATTTTGGAAGAAGTGCAGCCAGAGTGGTCCTTGGAGTCCAAGATGGCCAAACTTGGTCTCTCATACTTCAGACATATTGCCAGGAGGGACCAGGCACTGGAAAAGGATATCATGTTTGGTAAGGTGGAGTAAGAAAAAGAGTAAGATCCCCAACGAGATGGACTGGCCAAGTGGCAGCATCGATGGACTCAAGCGTGGCAACAGTAGTGAGGTTGGCCCAGGATCGGGCAGTGTTTCATTCTGCTGTGCATA